TTTAACGAAGAACGACTTTATAGCGCTGCACAAATCTCAAAATGGTTTAATTTTCATCACCAACCCTGCACTTGTTTAAATCTCCTCTTACAAGTGCTCAAAGTGCAGCTCATTCCTCCCCCTGACTCAGCCTGACATCACAGAGGTGCATGTGTGTGTGTGTGTGTGTGTGTGTGTGTGTGTGTGTGTGTGTGTGTGTGTGTGTGCGTGTGTGCGTGTGTGTGCGTGTGTGCGTGTGTGCGTGTGTGTGCATGTGTGCGTAGGGTCAGCCCGGCCTCATAAACGTCACCAGGACGACAACACAACTTTATGTGGTGCACAGAATGAAAGAGTGCATTAGAGCGCAGACATAGATCACCTGAGCGCAGCGATAAGAGCCTGGAGCCGCCCGGGGTTACTGGGATTTGTAGTTTTATTTATGTTCCTACATCTGAATCATTGTAGGACTGCAGGCTGCTCACTGTGTGCTGCTCATGTGAAATCTTAACTCTAAAACATTGTAGTGTTTTCTGCATCACATGGTTTAAAAATGTCCTAGTGCCTCAATAGAAGATTGTATTTTCTGAGACGCCCAGACTGTCTGACTGCCCAGAGCTGTGTAGTAACATGCTACTATCAGTGTTGGGGAGTAACAGATTACATGTACCAGAGTTACGTAATCAGAGTACAAATTATGAGTAACTGTATTCAGTTACAGTTACTGTTTCAGTGAGTGGTAATTGGATTACAGTTACTTTGTTGAAATAAATGGATTACACAGAGGTATTTTACTATTTTCACATTCTGGGCCAAATCAGGACTAAAACAGGACTAAACCAGGTCTAAACCAGGTCTAAACCAGGTCTAAACCAGGACTAAACCAGGATTTAATAAACCATGCCGAGTGGACTGTGTCTCCTCTTCCTTTATCAATAATATTTTTAATCTGCTTAAGTAAAGTCTGAGCTTTGTTATTTTCTTTTAGCAGACAAAACATCTTAAGTGGAGATTTCCTGGTCTTTGCTTCTCTACAGCAAACCAAGTAATCCAAAGTATTCAGATTACGTTACTCACCTCAAGTAATTTAATGGATTACATTACAAACTACATTTTGAGGTATGTAATCTGTAATCTGTAGGGGAATACATTTTAAAAGTCACCTTCCCAACACTGGCTACTACATACTCATAGTACTTAGACTGATATTTTACAGTGGCTTACAGTGGTAGCCTATCAAATCCAGATTGATCACAAGCCCTCGGTCGCATCTCGAGCCAGAACCAAACATGTTCGTCCAATCACAGTTGTTTATGTTAGTGAAACAAATGAGCTCACTGGTCACCCATCATTTACCAAATCCCATTTCTCTGCCCTCAGATAAACAGAGGTTAGTGCAGAATTACACAATGTTTTTTTAGTGCTGTGATATTTCTTTTTTCCTCATGAGCTGCCATTTTTGCTTTGACACGAACAAACAATATGTGTCCGTGATTGGCTAATCCACCTGTCAATCTTATCCATCTCAACTCGAGGAGAGTCACTGATGTTAGAGTTCTGTGTGGGACAGAATTTTCAGTCCCGCTCCCGTACGCATCTGCAATATTTTGTCCCGCTTCCGACCGCAAGTCCCGCAAGATGAGGATGTTTGCTTTCTTAAGTTCTATCAAATACGGAGAAGCAGGAAGGAATGGTCTAAAACAGTGGTCCCCAACCTTTTTTACACCACAGACTGGGGACCGGAGGGAGTTGGGGGGTGGCTGCATATGAGAGGAGGCACGGTGGGAGGTCCGGCAGTATGGTTAAGTCCTGGCCTAATCCTGTTTTAGTCCTGTTTTAGTCTTGTTTTAGTCCTGGTTTTAGTCCTGTTTTAGTCTTTTTTTGGTCCTGGTTTTAGTCCTGGTTTAGTCCTGTTTTAGTCTTGTTTTAGTCCTGGTTTTAGTCCTGGTTTTTAGTCCTGTTTTAGTCTTGTTTTAGTCCTGTTTTAGTCTGTTTAGTTTTAGTCTTGTTTAAGTCCTGGTTTTAGTCCTGGTTTTTAGTCCTGGTTTTAGTCTTGTTTTAGTCCTGGTTTTAGTCCTGGTTTTAGTCCTGTTTTAGTCTTGTTTTAGTCCTGGTTTTAGTCCTGGTTTTAGTCCTGTTTTAGTCCTTGTTTTAGTCTTGTTTTAGTCCTGGTTTTAGTCCTGGTTTAAACCTGTTTTAGACTTGGTTTTAGTCCTGTTTTAGTCCTGTTTTAAACCTGTTTTAGACCTGCTTTTAGACCTGGTTTTAGTCCTGTTTTCGTCCTGGTTTTAGATCCTGGTTTTAGACCTGTTTTAGACCTGGTTTTAGACCTGTTTAGTCTTGTTTTAGTCCTGTTTTAGTCCTGTTTTAAACCTGTTTTAGACCTGCCTTTAGACCTTTTAGACCTGGTTTTAGACCTGTTTTAGTCCTGGTTTAGTCCTATTTTTGTCCTGTTTTAAACCTGTTTTAAACCTGTTTTAGACCCCTTTTAGACCTGGTTTTAGTCCTGGTTTAGTCGTCTTTT